GTTTGTTGAACTCATCGTATGGAACTCAAGTTTGTAAAAGTAGTCAACACAGAAGAACGTGGGCCTGAAAATGGTGGAGGAGCTCCTATGTTTACATTCTTGTCGAAGAATAATTTTAAATTCAGTCTAACATTTAGTTTTTTTTTTCATAGTGGCAATGTTGGACATGAATATAAGTCAGTTCCTGAAGAGCCTGGGCCTGGAACACCTAAGGGACATCTTTGAAAGGGAGCAGGTCAGTAACAGAGTCTTTTCGACCATTAAAAAAAAAAAAAAAAAAAAAGAATACATTGAAATAGGCCTCTGTAACTCAATGGCTGTTTATTGTAACAGCAGTGTTAATGATCAAACAGAACGACAATGCACGAGTCAACAGATTTTTACTGTTCTGGTGTTCTCTTTTCTAGATCACTCTGGACGTGCTCGCCGACATGGGCCACGAGGAGCTGAAGGAGATTGGGATTAATGCATACGGCCACCGACACAAGCTCATCAAGGGTGTTGAGAGACTGCTGGGTGGCCAGCAAGGTGAGGAAGCATCTGTTTTTTGTTTTTTTTGTTTGGTGTCTTTTTTTTTTTTTTTTACTAAAACTGTTCTTCAAACGTTGAACATTTTCAGATATTACAAATAGAGGCTTTAACTTCGACTGTTGTTCACTTTTCAGGTGCCAACCCATACCTGACATTCCACTGTGCCAGCCAGGGCACCATCCTAATAGACCTCGCCCCAGATGACAAGGAGTACCAGTCTGTGGAGGAGGAGGTGAGCTGACCTTACATATCTGTGGATCTGACATCTATTCATGCTGTGGTTTTTGTAATCGGCATTCCTTTTTTGTATTTAAGCAGGTATTGAATATGTATATGTATATAAACTCAAAACGTTTCCACAAAATTCTAATCAACTTGTCTACAATGGTTTGCAGAGAACTAAGTTCACACATTCTATATAAAGGCATTTTAAGTAATTACACAATTGCTAATTGTGTATAGCTTTTCTTTAAAGAGCTTGTAGAGTAATTACTGATGGCTAGTGAAAAGGAGGAAGGATTTTCCTGATTATTAAAATGTTGTGTGTCCCTCAGATGCAGAGCACCATCAGAGAACACAGAGACGGAGGCAACGCTGGTGGTGTCTTCAGCAGATACAACATCATCAAGGTCTGAACCATGAATCGATCTGTGCTTGTCTGTTTCCATAATCCACAAAACACTGAGCAGCTTTTATATTTTTGTTTTGTTAGCAAGTGGGTATTAATCAAAGCTCATACAGCCAGTTTCCCAGACATTGATTAAGCTTAGTCAGGGCCAAAAAAAAAAAATAATAATGAAGATCTCAATTGGAAAAAAGTTTTCAGTCTAGGATTAGGTTTAATCCATGTCTGGGAAATTGAGCCGGTATTGCTGTAATGTCAACTAATGTATGTGAGTCAGCCGTTAATTATTGGTGTGAAGCACACAACTCCTGACATCATGTGTGATATGTGTTGTATTGTGCCCCACAGATTCAGAAGGTGGTAAATAAGAAGCTGAGGGAACGTTACACCCACAGGCAGAAAGAGATCGCAGATGAGAACCACAACCATCACAATGAGCGGATGTTGTTTCACGGTGAGCACACCCACAGTCACATCTGTTTTGTCAGCAAAAGTATGTCATTTGAATTTAGGGCAACTATATTTTAAACTTTCTGGCATATGTCTGTGTGTAATGCTTTATGTGTTGGTTGTACATAACATCATATTGTGTTGTATTTTCCTTCAGGTTCCCCTTTCATCAACGCCATTATCCACAAAGGTTTTGATGAGCGCCACGCCTACATAGGAGGGATGTTTGGAGCAGGGATCTACTTTGCAGAGAACTCCTCAAAGAGCAATCAGTACGTCTACGGCATTGGTGGAGGCACGGGCTGCCCGACGCACAAAGATCGATCCTGCTACCTGTGCCACAGGTAACTTTGACTTGCATGGCTTAATGCTCCCCGGCACTGTGCTGGAATTCCAGCATGTGACTGTGGACATTTCACATTTGAAAAGAGACAATTATTTGTATGTGGAAACTATACTTACATATATTACTATATTATGTCTTTATATGTATGTATACAGCCATAAGAGAAAAAAAAAGTTTGCCCTGATTAAAATAGACCAACTTTATTGTGAAAACCGTTTGCTTACACTGGCTCTGCAAGTGACAGATTAATAATGCTTATGGCTCTGCTACTTTGAGAAATCACTGCAGTAAACAGGATATCGGTTTTGTTTTCATATCTTCTCATCAGTACTTCAGACTAATTTGGCCTATAATGCTGGATGCACTGTTTAGAGACCAACAGAGGAAGAAGCTTTTAAAGGTCTGAAAGGTGGTTTAGGTTAAGTGTAGGCTATTGGATGTTCTTTATAGCTTTGAAGGTTGTGCTTGAACTTTAATAATATTAGCCTAAGAGACTATGAGTCGATTTCTGCCTGCAGAAAAGGTAAGTTACAAGATAATACATTTTTCCACGATTTGGACCTGTCAAGGTAATGTAAGAATGCAATCTGTCATCCATCTGGCTTATAGCCTACAGCTAACTAGTAACTCTAATTTCTTCCTTTTGTGTTTTGTTTCTATGTTTGATATCTGTAATCAAAACACGTTCAGTCATCATCAAGATTTATCATAAAACGCCCTTCCCTCCACTTTTTCTCTTAACCCCCGAACACATTTTAGATACAGACATTTTCCTTACTTGAAGCCATAGATGTGACATGACCCTTTAAAGTCAGGGGTTAACATCAGTTTCAAACTAAACTACAGCATCAAATATGTTTTTGTTGTGAAACTCAGTTCCCTTTTGTTGTTGTCAGAGTAACAGTTTTGTACACAAAGGTGTGGGGACACTTGCGTATGACCTTTTTCATCTCTCTCAGGCAAATGCTGTTCTGCCGAGTCACTTTGGGGAAGTCCTTCCTACAGTTCAGTGCCATGAAGATGGCTCACGCCCCCCCAGGACATCATTCAGTAATCGGGCGGCCCAGTGTTAACGGCCTAGCCTACGCTGAGTACGTCATCTACAGAGGAGAGCAGGTAAAAAAAGAGAAAGGATAATTTTAATTCCCTAAATTCTGTTTAGTTCATAGCATCAGCAAAGATAGATTTACTGTCTACTGTGTGATGTTGGCTAACATCCTGCTATGTTCTCCCTCAGGCCTACCCAGAGTACCTCATCACCTACCAGATCCTTAAACCAGAGAGTGCAGCCCAGGCTGCTGCAGGAGCTGAGCAGAAGTCGTAGTTACTTTATGTTACACACACTCACACAAAAAGGACTCGATGCTCGTTATTTTTCTCCTTTGTAGTGCAAATGCCTAAACACCTTTTTATTTACCAAACACATTTCCAGTCTTCTGTCCAGTAGAACCCATGGTGACCAGTGCTTCATGAGCAGATATGCTGTATAATACTGTCCTACTCATGGTGATGACACACTTTGTTTGTTATCTTTGTTTTTTTTTTTTGCATCGGCTGCATGTTAATACAGAAGCATGTAAGGCCCAATAGCGTGCGTGGGTTAGTTCAGTGTCTCTCCCCTCCCTCCCCCTCCTCACCAATCAAGAGGATGCTTGTAGAGACTTTGAAGTATCAGCATTAACAGTTTGCCACTCTGTGTCGCCTCATGCCTTGTGACTTTGGAGAATCACCAAACCCCCCCCCATCCCATCTTCACGTCGAAACACACACATATACACTGTCACACTGTCCGAGCCTGAAACCTGTGGACTACTACTACCACCCCACCGTATCTGGGTTCATCCTGTAGAGAATGGCCTGCAGTAACTGTGATTTTAATGCTAACCTATAACACTACCAGACAGGTAATAGTGCGTCATTGCTATGCTGTAATGCTGACTTCCCCAACTTTCAACCCAAGAACACTACAAACACTGAGCTGAAATGTTTTTAGTGGTTTTATTCAGGGCTGGACGTGCTTGATTGAGAAAGGGCTCTCCGTCAAATCGCAAAATTTAGGATTATTTTATCGATGTCACAATCTTGATTTGTATGAGAGAGGATGTGTGCTCAGCAGTGCATCGTAAGGCATCATAATTAGATGAAGGTGTACATTAAAAGCATTATACTGTATATGACTGTGCTTCATACAGTGGAGTTGGTATATGTTGAAATGTGCTTGTGATGCCTTACAGCCAGTGAACTCATCAAAGCACCCTTTCTGTCGCCATGGTCTTACTCACAGACATCCCACGCATAAGGATTTGCACTTTTACATAGAAAAACCTATTTAAGTTATTTTGAATTTAAATTGCAAATTTGCGGAAAAAAATATTTGTACAGGTTGTGTAAATGGTTGTGTATAACTGTTGCTGTTTAACAGTATCTTTGAGTTAAACTGTAAATGACATTGAATTTTCCTTCCATGCCTTCTTGATTCTCCCATTATTTTTTTTTAATAAATGTCCCATTAACAGTTTGTTGTCTGATGTTTCTGTGAATATTCTCATGGTCTGACTATTTCTTTACTCAACATTTTATATCACTTTAGTTATTTGCAAATGTAACCAACAAGAAAAGTTGAGACGGCGTATGTTCAGTGTAGAGAACCAAGGCCAAAATCAAGAGTAGATGGTATTTAAAAGTTGTCTATTATAAACGTAGGTGATACTTCTCCAAATGGGGGAGTGCTAATGCTTATAGGGATAGGTTGAAATGGTGGTTAGATGCCAAAAGAGAAATATTAAAGTGTGTATTTAGTATTTATTTTTTATGTTTATTTTCGCTGTGCAAAATCTGTAGCTTCTTCCCATTGTGTCTGAAATCAAAGGACAAGTTTATTGTATTCTTCTTTTCAAAAAATTAATTTATGAAGCACGCTCACCACTGGGAGCTATGTGTGTTTGCGATTTATTGTTTACATTTTTCATATGAATAGTTTGTCATTTCCTGTTTTTCAAAACCGGACTTCCATAAAAGACTACAACTGCGTCGCGTGCAATAATACGTCATCGTGCTCAGGTGACTAACGGCAGCCTGCTAGTTTACCGAAACGTGTGTTTTGTTGTAATTCCTAGTGGTAGAGTGAGTTATGCCACAGTTGTCTCTTTTATTCACTTTCCTACGATGCTTAGGTCATGCTGGGTTAAGCTGAGCCCTCGTCCTTTGTTCTACAACTTTTATTTTTAATTTCTATCGTAGCTGTTTAAGCTAGCAGACAAAGTTGTCACGTTCGCAGACATGGTGTGCAAAACTTTTTCTGCTCTCCTATTCCTCCTGAACATTTCCGCAGCTTCAGGTGCTTCATATGTTATCACAGTTGATGTGGGAACACCAGCAGGAGACCTTAAACACTTCTGGAGAAGCACCGGTTTCTGGTAGGTCAAACATGAACCTGCCTTCATTCACTTTTACAGTCGCTCAGTGGTAGAGAGCTAACAGTGAGAGTGAATCAGAAAACTGAGATTTAATTGAAATGAAGAAATAAATTTGGGTTTGTCTTCTAACCGAATGTAGCAGAAGTAATTATTAATTGGTATTAAATATTAAGGCAAGCAAGCACCTTTAACAAACCCAAGAAATTCTAAAATGTGTGTTAATTTCAGTGGAGATTGACAGTTTTTACTCAAGTGCCAGTAATGTTGTCAGGGCTAAATGACAAATCTCATGACTAACTAGGCTGGACTTTCATGTTAGGTTTATGAACAATCTGGCATATTAAATCATATTGCCAAAGCTAAATAGTAGTTGTTTGTGTCCAGCCCCCCGCTCCCTCACACCCAGTCCCACCAGTATGACCTGAGCATCGACCAGCAGCTGAATCTGGCCTACGTGGGCTCAGTGCCTCATGGAGGGATCCAACAGGTCAGGATACACTGGATGCTGGAGCTGGTCACAGCACAGTAAGTGAACTAGCAGGTGGACACTTCACCAGTTTCTGGTTTTGTGTGTACTCATCTTGATAAATTACAGTTGTCTTTGTGTTGTTGTTTTAGGGATATTGGAGGACAACCCCAGTATAACTTCACTAAACTGGACCAGCTGATAGAACTCTTGCATGTTAATGGACTGCAACCAGGTACTGTACCACTACATGTTGTATTTGTTGTTTATCCATCAATCTTATCAGCTATACCTGCTTTACCTTTTCAGTAAAGTTGATGCAATAGCCAAACTGTATTAAACCATATGTGTTAACATGAATATTAAATGGCTGCTCTCTGATGCATTTTGCAGGGTTTGAACTGATGGGCAGTGTCTCTAACTACTTCACTGACTTTGAGGACAAATCACAAGTGTTTGAGTGGAGAAATCTGGTTCATCTCATAGCCAAGAGGTACATTGGTGAGTGAGTGCCAACTGCCATTGTTTAGTCATTATTTTATATGTTTGTAATCCGTACCATTTAATCGTGGCAGATGAAAGAAAAGGATCTAAAAATAATTTGTGCCATTTACTTCAGTCTATGTTTGAGGGGTCTGATTTATATTGATGTATGTTTTTAATTGCTGATATTTTACACATCAATAGAACACATAAGTTTAGCAATAAAGAGCATTCTGTATTGTCACACAAACAGCCTTATGACTTATGTGCAAATGTGTAATTTAACTGGAAATTGCTTTTTGTGCTGCAATAAGTAGACTCAAACAGTCACTGTGGGACCCTTCTCCCACACAAGGCAATATGTCGTCTTTTGTTTAAATCTTTTTTGTTGATTTGAAATTTCAGACAAATATGGCCTGGGAAGTGTTTCTCAGTGGAACTTTGAAACATGGAACGAGCCCAACAACCATGACTTTGACAACGTTACTGTGTCAATTCAAGGTAAACTGGGATGCGTTCTGCAGGGCATTTTTCTGATGTCATGTCAGATGTTTTTTTTCTCAATAGCAATTGTTCCCATCAATTAAAGGAAAAACCAATATGTACCCAGAAAGTTAATTCTTATTTTCTTTTCTTAGATTTGCTTGTGTTTTTGTTATTACCAGTCATCTTAAAATACTCATTTGAGAAATATATACTTACTTCTGTATGTCTATGAATATACACATAGTTATTATAATAAAGTGTCAATCTTGAAGATTTTCATACAAATAAATGTTGTCATTATCTATCCAAATGAGATAACACAATTACAATTAAGCCAATGGCCCAATGATTAAATAATATGTAACTCCTTCTGTTCACACTATTACATATTGTGTGTCTGCCAGCAGTTGTGTTTCTGTCAGAGGAGCTAACACTACAGACTCGCTCTTCAGCTCACCTGTGTGTGAAGTGGCTGTTTTTTTTACTTGACTTTATTTCCTTTTTGCCTTTATGTTGTGACCTTTCTCTGTCTATGGGAGGGTGCACACTGTCAACAAAAGATGAGTCTGAAAAATGAAGCTTATGCAGAAGTAAATTAAACCTGCAAATGGCCAGAAGGGGGGAATCCTCTGGTTCTAAAGAAATTCCGAGTGTGTAAAAGTCTATGAGAAATGCTGCTAAATCTCATTTGATTTGCTACTTCAGTAAACATTTTCCATTAAGTTTTTGGTCTCAATAACTAGTTTTAAGACTTTTTGAAAACAGCATGATGTTCATTTTGTAAATTATGATCCCACTTAGAGTAAAATAGAAGATAAAGCAGGGTGTGCAGTGTTTTAGTCTGCAGTGAGGTCAAACAGTAATTTTCTTGGTTTTTGCAATGAGAGATTTTTTTGTTTTGTCATTAAAATGCCCACATTTCACAGATTTAGTGTCACCATAAAACACTGATGCTGCAATGCTGCAATGCTGCCATGAGGATTTCTGAGGTTCTTTCACTGTGATACATATTTTTAGGTTTTCTAAACTACTATGATGCGTGTTCGGAGGGTCTGCGCTCTGCCAGCAGCCTGCTGAGGTTTGGAGGTCCGGGAGACTCCTGTCACACCCCCCCACACTCCCCATACTGTTGGGCCATGCTACAGCACTGCTACAACGGCACCAACTACTTCACTGGGGAGACCGGGGTCAGGATTGACTACATCGCCTTGCACAAGAAGGTGTGTGTTAATGGACACTGTAACAAGCATATCTAGAACAAGCAGAAAACTAATACATGCATGTTAAATGAAGTGCTTATATCTGCAGAAGATCTAAAAGAGCTGCACTATTTTTGGTTTCTTTTTTTGCAGTAGAGTGACTCAGTCTTGTTGATACTTTCCTTAAATCCTATTCGCACAGTCATCTGAGTCAGTAAAACTGTATTTATTAATGCATTTATTAGCTTAATTGAATATAAAAAATTATGCTAGCTTGTTTTCCTCCTTCAGGGAGGAGGCTACTCTTTGCCCATCCTCCAGCAGGAGATCCAGACAGTAGGGGAGATCCAGGAGCGCTTCCCCCGGTTCCGCAGTCTTCCTGTATATAATGATGAGGCTGATCCTCTGGTGGGCTGGTCTAGGCCTCAGGAGTGGAGGGCTGATGTGACCTATGCTGCGATGGTGGTAAAGGTGAGGTTAAAGGATACAAAAGCATGAAAAACACCACAAGAGTCAAATCATACTGGATGGTGAAGGTCAGTATTTATACTAAAGTCTTCTGCAAGTGTAGAGTAAGATATTGTATTTATATAGGAGTTTACGTGGCTTTTGAGTAAACTGTTTATGTAGGGCTGGAAGAACTAGGTGAGCTAAAGGGCTAAATTATTATACCAATGAATTTCGTCTAATTGTGTGCTGGCAAACTTCACTCTGCCAGTTCAATCACTCCGAAACCAATCCTCTGTCCTGCTCCCTGTAACAGGTAATAAACCAGCACCAGGATCTGCTGCTAGCAGACCCCAACAGCACCATCAACTACACCCTGCTGAGCAACGACAACGCCTTCCTCAGCTACCACCCGCACCCCTTCACCCAGCGCACACTGACCGCCCGCTTCCAGGTCAACAACACCCAGCCCCCTCACGTCCAGCTCATCAGGAAGCCTGTCCTCACCGTCATGGGCCTGCTGGCTTTGCTAGGTGACAGTTTCTTTACTCTAGAACACGAGACCCTCCAGGATTCTGTGTGCACCTCAAGGGAAATGTATGAATCAGTTAAGATGCATTTGATTTGATTTGATTTTTTACATGTGCACATTCACTAAAGTCATTGTCCTATATGGGATTCCAATTTAAGGAGAGACCCAGATCCGGGCTCAGGTTCTGAGCTCAGCAGGAAGCCACAACAGTACAGTGGGAGTTCTCGCCAGCAGCCACAAGCCTGCGATGCCGGGTGGCTCAGACAGCTGGCAGGCTGCAGTGCTTGTCTACAACAGTGACGACAACAGCACCTCCACCGCCGCTGACGATGTCACCGTCACAGTGAGAGGACTATCTGCACAAAAGGGTACAGAATACTGTTAGATCAGTGCTGTTGGGTTTCATGTTAATTAAGATATAAGGTGATTTTATTTTAACCCTGTGAATGTCAAGCAGAAGTTGAGAAATGTGTTTTGTGGAGTATGGCAAAGTTATGAAATATGGATATTTCCTCGACCGAACAGCACATCAGAGATAATTAGTTCAACAACTGTCAGAAAATGGGAACTTTAACAATTCTCTCAGTTTGTATAGTTTATAGCTCTTACAGTTTGGGCTATGTTGCAATTTTTTTTATTTTTTTACCTTTTAAATACCATGCCTTTAAATCCCAGCGATGGGACCTGGGGTTTTGAGAGTAGAATAATATTTTAAAGACATTATATTCTGCATGTGAGTGGTTAATTTCAGTCCTGCTGTTTATCTGTTTGTTTGTTGTGCAGGTCTTGTGTATGTGATGTATTACATGGATAATAACGGAACCAACCCGTACCAGCTGTGGCAGAGCATGGGCAGCCCCGACTACCCCACAGCTGAACAGTTCAGACGGCTCCGGAGAGGGCAGGTAAACAAGAGGGCTGAACAATATTAGTAAAGGAACATCATGATATTTTAGATTTTGCAATGTACATTGTATTTTTTTCAAGTACTAGACAGAAAGTTTGTATTATTGTGTTTAAAATGTTTATGTTCTGTAAGTACAATTACCGGCACACTTTTTTTAAAAACACAAAACACTGCTGGACTTTTACATATACATGAAAGTCCCTAACATTCACTAGCCCTATCCAAATAAGCTCACACAATGTTGTTTTAGATTCAGCCCCAGATGAATCTGTCTGTGTTTCACAATATCACAGAGTTTAAAATCTGGTTTCTGTGGTGACATTACTGTGTTGGTGCATTAGTAGAGATGTTTTACATTAAGCAGTAATGATTGGGTTACCAGAGCTGAAAAGGAGCTAATGGAGATTGAGTAGGCTGCAGCTGTGGCTGCAAATTATGTGGTGACAACAGCAACAAGAAGCAATCCTCAGGAGGCATCAACATTGTGTAATTACACAGTCTCATACATATAGGCATGGTTGGGATGTTCTTGCACTGCATTTTCTCTGGTTTACTGGTTGTGTATTCATAGCTAAAGATCTTGTTCAGTGCAGCCTTTTTTAAGGCCTTTTTCACTTAAGGACCTTGATTTTGACCACTGTTACTGTCTCTGTTTGTTTATTTGATCAGCAGTTTGTGGCAGTACCATGCCAGCAAAGGCAGAGAAAGCAAATAAACAAACCTGTAAACAATGCACATTTTAAAACTGGCTTTGGAGGTTTTCTATCAAAACAGAATTGTGCAGACTGAATATATGTACATTTGTTTGTTTATGAGAAAACTCCACAGGGCACCTTTAAGGGTTAACTGATTTCTCTCTGTTTGTGCTGTCTTTCTCTGTAAAGTGCTTAGAGGCATGCTTTGACCACTGATGGTATGTTGTTGTGTCAGGACCCTCATGTTGATGGACCCTGGAAGGTTCCTGCAGGAGACACTCTGACTCTGAAAGTCAAACTGTTTGTGCCCTCCGTCCTCCTCATCCATCTGTGCGCTCAGCCCAAAGCCGTGCCAGACCAGGTGAGCTCCAACACGCAACGATCTTCAGTTGAAACAACTCTGACCAAGATGGCTTAAAATAGTTCTAAAGCACAACACTGATGACGGTATATCTGGATTGAAGCTTCACTTAAATACTTCTTATATGTGAATCAGTTGAATTCTGTCTCCACATATGTCTGTTTTTGTCAGATGTGTAAACCTAAAACTGAAATATTTAAAGCTAAATGAAAATTTTAATTTAAAAGATTTCTAATTTTATGCTATCTGGAAGCTACAGAGTCTGTGGAGCCAAACTAACACTTAAACCATTGGTTAATATTTCATGAGAAGATATATTAGCTAATCTATCGGTGCACTAATGTTTAGAAATGACCACGTGTCTCTTCTATGGTGTAGATTTGTTATTTCCTATGAAATACAATGTTGACACTCCACTATATGTTTTAGGTCAACGGACTACGTTTCATCAGGATCACCAAAGGCCAAGTGCTTATTGTCTGGTCTGATCACTGTGTTGATTCAAAGTAGGTGCATGTTTGAAACACTTCTTATCCAGAACTCTGGTGTACATTTAATGTCCATATCACTCACATGTAATACACATAAAGGAGGTGTTGACTGGTCCTTTAAAGGTTGGATGAACTTATATGACATGATAACATTAATTTGTTACTTTGAACGTTTCAGGTGCATCAAGACATTTGAAGTGGAATTCTCCGCAGACCAGAAAGAATTCAGCAGAATTAATACCCAAGACATCATTTTTACTTCTTATGTGTATTCTCCAGGTAACAATTCCAGTAAATTCTTGAAAGAATAGTTATTAAGTGATTAAGTGAGAAACAAGCCTGTAATGGTTCATTTGGCGCTGTGATTTGGAGTCTAACAGCCATTAAATAACATCATGTTCCATGTTGTGTTCTGTAGGGGACCAGGTGGTTGGTGGTCTGTACAGAGTTCGAGCTGTGGACTACTGGGGAAGGGCAGGCCCATACTCGCTGCCAGAGAGGTATTCAGAGGAGTGTTAGACCAAGGTCAAGTCTGCTGTCCTTCATGTTGCCCAATCGCATAATGAGCGTATATTATGCTCTAAGTGGCACTAATTCAGGAATAGAGCATTATGGTTGTACTTTCAAAGACTTGAATGTTTGACTTTTCTAAGCAGACCACTTTGTTAATAGTAGATAAAAGTGACTGAATACAAATACCAGCAATCATCAGCAGCTCTCATGCATTAATGTCTGAGGTTACTGCAGGTTTATTGCCTTGTGGAGATCGATAAAGGAGCTGAACACATGCTGTCTCAGTGGAAACCTTTTAAACTCTACTGGCAACATTAACAGCTTCTGATATTTGTATTTAGAAATAGTATGGCTTTATGTTTGTGTAAGTTGAGACCCATGAGAAGACCAAAACCAACAACATGTCAGTCAAAGTGTCTAGGTGCCTTCCAAATCAGCCGAGACAAAAATCTAAAAAAGTGGCTCTTAAACGTTTAGGATGCTTTCCCATACTCATACTACCATTTGGTAGGGCAGAAAAAGGTTTTGTATTTGGTATTACATACAATGTCAAGCGCAGTACGCCACAAAAGTCCGTACTACATCCAGTCACATTTGCTGTATCAAACCAGACATATCCTTTATATATACATCCTAATACCTTTACACACAAATAAACTGACTATGTCTTACATAGTTTATTGCAAGCAGTGTTAAATGCAGGCGGTGTTAACATGCAGTCGCACATAATGTGTCATTACATGGGAGGTACGAAAGGAAAAGAAAAATGTATTTTATTTGAAATTCAGTTTTTAAATTTGTTATAGTCTATTTTTCTATTCTTGAAATGTCTTGTAATGTTTATGCATTAAAGAAGTAAAGTTGGATAACCACTCAAAGTTGATTACACTCAAGTGTTTTACAAAGACAAGGACAACAGCACATTTCTTTATAAAATTTATTGTCACCAACACAGAATGATTGTAGATGTTACCCATCAGTGTGACAATACTGTACAGTTGGTTACATCATCACATTCACTCAACCAGTGATAGTATTTCAGTGGATCTGGCTTAAAATTTAATGTTTTACTTGGCAGTGTTAATTTTCTCATAGGGGGGTGGATTGGACTTTTCCAATAATTCTCTCCTTTGACGTTGGAACATTGCACATCGCAAGTTGAACAGGATTAATCTCCTGAGAAGAGCTCTTTCTTCATCCTGGGAAGATGATGATCCATCCAGTGTAATGAAGGGCAGCTCACGAGAGTCCAGCTAAAGAGCAGTTTAGCAAGCTCCTGTTAAAAATAGAGAAAGGGGAAGAGGAAGTGTAGGATGAGTTTCAATGCCAGGAGTTTTTGTGCATCAGAGCATCGACTAAATGTAGTAAACGTCATGGTATATGTTTACTTCTGCACTCTTTGTTACATACCAGACTGCAGCACAGGCTGGAACTGTCCGGCCATGCAGATTTCCTCCTGTTTTTGGCGGACCACTCTCTGGATAGCAGGGGGGAGGCCGCGGGGGTTGCGGGAGAAGACCAGGGCGTATCCGTCCTCGCAGCTTCCGTCGTCCTTCACGGCGCGGCAGGCGTAGGTGATGGCGTAGTTGTCATAGTCGGTGTCAATGACCCAGTAGTTGTCACCTAGAAAAGCAGAGTGAGAAGTTGGTCTCAGCTGCATGAGAGAGCGACCAAGAGAGTGTGTTTGTGTATACAACTGTACATGCTTACCGCCACTGGAGAGGTAGCTGGCCAGTCCCTGGTAGTTCATGAACATCTTGCCGGGGGTGCCGGGGTCAGGCACTGAGTATTGAGCAGCCATGTCAGCACAGACCACCCAGAACCTGGACGTCAAGCAGAGAGAGCAATGTAATGCTTGCAAGCAGGAATTGAAACCTTTTAATTATGGGAGTATCTCATGATCAGATCAAGTGTTTTTTGTTTTTTTTTAAATCGCAAATACTCACCCAAAGAGAGTGACTCTGCCTCTGGAGGAGGCCACCATGGAACCATCATCGCCAACAGTGTATTCAGCAGAGATATTGTCCTGCAGGAATAAACCCTCGGGGTCTTTCTTCTGCAGAGCGTACCACTTTCCTGCATACTGTCAGGAAAAATAGCAAAGTAAAAAAGAGAAATTACTTTAATAGGCTTCTTTTCAGTAGAAACATGCGGAGGAGGAGTAAAATTTGTTTTGTGTGTACTAAAGTTCAGATTATGAGGTAACTAACAAACTGCTGAACCTCTTACTCTAACTAGTACAGTGTATTTCACTTTTTGCTGGTGATGTCCTGGTTTATACAGAAGTTGTGGATCATTCTATTTCCGTTAAATGATTTTTTTCTACTTGTTAACTTGTGTGACCAAACTGTCCTGAAGCTATAGAGCAGTATTAGTGTAAATGGAATACTTAGAATTCAGATCAGAGTAAATTAAACAAAAAAGTTTAGTTAAAAGTTGTCTAGATTTCTAAGAGACATATCAATATACTCACTCTTTGGGGTTCAAAGTCCTCTTTGACTGTGAAGCTGTCCACCACACAGGAGGCCAAGCTGTGCTCCACACAGGCCAGGAAGAACATCACCATGGCAAAGATTTGGAAGTCCATTCTAGACAAAACCCAAGTGAGGTTCTTGTTAATTAGCGTCATTTCATTTTTTTTCTATTTCTACTTGTATAGTCAACGCTCCTCTTAACTATAAACTGCACTCATCTAAAATCTCCTCAAATGCTTAAATGTCGTTTAAATAATTTTTAAAGTATTTGTTTTTCTTCTGAAGAAGTGTCGTAGATCCCCGTATAGCAGCATCTCCTTACCTGAAGTGTAGAATGAAGCCACAAGAAGTTTCTGGTGCAGAGTTGTTGCAGTATCCGAGCTGTGGTTAGAAGACAGACTGTGAGCCTTTTATACCCGACGCTCACAGGCTCTCTGATTATTTTCACTTCTTGAACCTAAAAGCAGAGTTTAAATCTACCGCTAATCCAGTTAACAAAATCCCCCGCTGTAAGCTGATGAGCCCTCCCATTGAGCAGTGTATAGGCTTTATGTAATTGTTTGCAGGGCTGCATAATGGAATGTATGATGACAGAAGCCCTGGGGGGTGAGACGGTGGCCCACAGAGACGTTGTTTACATGAGCAGACGAGAGTATTCTGGGCTCTGAGGTGACATGGAAACTTTCACTGTCACATGTGGTAATCGACCAGATTTACTGAGTCATAGTTGGTGAGAAAGTGCTGTCATACAGAATGCATGAGAGACTATGAAATACTAGTTTAATGTTGCTTTTGTGGTTTGTTTTTATGTTTGTGTGTGTGGTGTGATTAAGCCGGCCATCTTCTTTTCAGCTTGCTGTCACAAATACTCCCAAATGCATCTGTTTCCAAAGTTTTTCCAAATCTCATTTAAATACATAGACAGTTTACATCAGGGGTGCCCAATCCTGGTCCTCGAGAGCCTCTATCCAGCATGTTTTAGATGTTTCCCTCTTCCAACACTCCTGATTCAAATGATCAGCTCATCATCAAGCGCTGCAGAAGCCTGATAACGATCTTGATCATGTGAATCAGGTGTGCTGGAAGAGGGAAACATCTAAAACATGCTGGATAGGGGCTCTCGAGGACCAGGATTGGGCACCCCTGGTTTACATGTTTTACCTTAGAACCTTTTTTAAATTTATCACCAAAGTCTGCAGCTGTTTAATGGGAAATTGACTGTGATGGCGTGTCTGCGTCTTACTGGTTTTCATTGACAACACTACATCACCCCAATTTTGGCTTCTGTCCATTGGCTCTGTGTTCATTTGATTTTATTGATCACCTTGATACTAGTCTGGCCCCAAACTACATAGCAGAGATGGTGAACTCGTATGAGCCAGCCTAAGATTCTAAATCTAAAGGTGATCGTGCATTTGCCACCAGGCCCTTCAGCTGTGGAACAAACTGTCTGAGAAGACAAGTCTCACAGAACCAGTGACTTCTTTGTAAAGTTTACTTTGAAATCACTTTTTAAAACCAATTTTTATAGACTCACCTTTATGTGAAGTTGTCTTTTTATTACTTAGTTAATATTAGTAGTAGTAGTAGTCTAGTGTGAAAGCGTTTTCTTATTTATTTAGGTGTAAAAACTAAACATTTTTTAAAAAAATCTTAAGTCAAAGGATCATAAATTTAAGTATGAAATCTATAAATGTATTGATGAAATGTCTCTTGGTTCTTACAAACTTATTTTTTGATTAGGCAGTATATCACTGCTTTTGTCCAAACATTTTGTTGCGTCTGTTTTGTTTAATTTGGGCAACATTTTTCGTCAGATGCACTAAAAATGTAAAGTTTCAGACTCACAAGAAAATATTCTGTACGGCCTTAAAGATAATAATAATAATAATAATGATGATGATGATAATAATAACAATAATAATAATAATAAATCTAAGAAAAAAAAGCACTTTAAGACAGACAGATCAAATGATAACACAGTCTGGAGAATAACATTTTTGATGAACTCTTGTCATGTTATGTCAGCAGAGGCTCAGCTGTTCCCATCACTTGCTTGGTTAAGTAACCTACTGTGATCTCGTCTGTAAACGCTGCCAAAGCTTCGACCTGTAATCCCGGGCAAAACGTGTTGTACAGGAAACTGCTGAGATGTTACAAAGGACGTTTACACCACTTATGCATCAGCAAAGAGTGCAGAAAGACACCAAAGTGGGACGCTGCCTTATTTCATGGGAGGAAACTTAAAGAATTTTATATGCATTAGAATTTGAAGGGATTGTAGCATTTTAGCGAAGCAATTTTTATTGTGTGTGCTTTCAAAATCAGACATCTTGAGCAGCTTTTTTTTGCTTGTTTGTTTTTAGAAATTCCTTATCTGTATTGTTGTGTACTTTTTAAAATAAGTAAGCAGATCAGTGTAATCCCTCTAACAAGTTCCCTGCACCAGTCCTCAGGTGATATTTTTGCTAACTACAGTAGGTAAGGTAGCTAAGAAAAGACAACTAGTGTGCTAGTAAGTTCAGCTGTATTTTTAGTGGCCCCAGCATTGTTGTAATTCTAATTATAGCCCGTCCTAATGACATTAGGTAAGCTGTCTGTGCATCCTGGGCTGTTCGGAGCTGTACGATCTATCAACCTGACACGGCCTGCGACGTGCTAACAGCATTAACTCTGCATCTCTAATCTGAAAACAAAAGCTAGGTTTAAATGGTAAGACTGGAGACACACACTTGCTTATCTGGATGTGAGCTCAGGTTGGATATGTCTGGACCAGAGCCGTGGAAGGTCATAGGTTGTTGGGTACAAGCAGTGCAAGTTGTATAACAAGAGATTATCAGAGATGGATGTAAGCATATACAAACTCTTAGGTATTGCACATATAATACTGCTTTTCTCTCTCCACATCTCTGTAGGATGAATGTTGATAGTAATCGGGCAACAAGGCCTCAGTGAAATTTCTCAAATCTAAGATCACATCCAGTAGAATTTGTATTAAACCAATCAGCTGAGATGTATTAATTTAAATGCTGACAGTGAGAGTATGGACAGCTACTGTTACAATCACCTACACATTTAGTTAATCTGGATGTACATCAACCTGTCAAGCTCCAGATTTGAATATTATAAACTCCATGCACAGTTATTGGGCAAATTTTTCTTCTTAGGATTCCTTTTATTGCAGGTACAACGCTCTTAAATGCTATTGAGTCTCAAACCTGAATGTTTCACAAAGTTGATTACAAAAGGAAAAAAAAAATCCAACTCACTTGTTTTTGTTTTTAAACTAAAACGAGAGACACAAAATTAGAATTAAATAACATTTCTGACCTTTTAGAAATATTCAGTGACCACTAAAGTCATCCTTCTTTTCAGTAACTGCTGTGAACCTGTCGTCCTTTTAGTCTTTCAGTTTCTTGATGTGTTCATAATCAACTTTTGTTAAAGCAGCAATCACAGCCTCCCAAGCATTGTTCAATTAGCTGGTTCGCCTTCACTCTCTGTAAAGTTCTCATTTTCAAAGGGCCATCGAGTTCTGAATAGGATTTAAGTCAGTGAGGAAGGAGTCTAGGTAATGTACTTTGTCTTCAAAGTATAAGTAGACTTAAGAATTTATTTGTAATAGGACAATGGTATAAACAGGAACAAGAGCTGACAAAGACACGTCACACACGTCAGATGACACTTCTGAAGAAGGCGACAGATGGAACGTGTCAAGGTACAGCTAACAACTTTATACTATTGTCCTATTCCAAATAAATTCTTAAGTCTAGGTCATTGTTCAGTCGTCTGTCATGGATAACCAACAGGAGGATGGAGGAGAAATGACTCATCACCACTAGAAGAAAAAAAAAAAGTGAATTTGGACTTATTCTGGATTCATTCATAGTTTGATGAGCTGCTTAGTTTTTTGTGATCCCTGCCTGTTTACGACATTACAGTGTTCATACATTTTACCATTTAACTACCAAAAGTCAGATTAGCCATGAATATCTGTAAATCCTATTGAACTAAGAATGCAAACAACTTCGAAAAAATGTGCAATAAATAAACAACCACAACAGCAAGTAAACAGATGCTATCACTTAGACATAAACTTCCTAGGAGAAGCAGTCATGTTTGATTTGTGTACATTGTGTGTGTGTGTGTCCCTTTTTTATTTTTTAATTTGGCTGCAGTATTTGATCAATCAAACATTTATTTGAATGAAACCATGTGACAAGTTTAGAAGTTTAAAAAATAATCCCTGTTTGCCAAAACTGTTCGCAGTTCAGACATCTGAAATGTGAGCAGACTACACACTGTTTTTAGCAAGAAGCCAAAAAGACTGGAAACCACCAGCTTAAAATGTTGAGATTTTTCTTTTCTTTACTAAAATCTTAATCTCAAAAGTATCTAAAGCTGTCAGATAAATGTAGTGGAGTACAAAGTACAACATTTCTCTAAAACGGAGTGAAGTTGAAGTGTAAAGTAGCACAAAATGTAAATACTCAAAGTACAAGTCAGTCAAAATTGTACTTAAGGAGAGTACACAGTATTTACTTGAATAAATGCCCTCAATTACTTTTTCCATTTTACACAAGAATCCATGTAAAATGGAGACTGATCCACCAACAGACACCAAATATTGTCTGTGCTCCATTTTACTAGGTTACCCTGTCATAACTGAACTGTTGGAGATTGCTTACAAGCTTATATATTTGTCTGATATTTTATCAGCTCTAACAGGATGTGTTTCTGTAGACGGCTTTATGTGCAGACTGAAGGCTGCATGAATTTGACTTTACTGCTCTCATCTGTTGTCCAGGTGAAGCACACTTCATCTCAAATGGCCCACTGCTTTGACATTTAACACGTCAGCCAATCCTTGACGCTAACACTGAGAATTACGTTCCACAGGATATACAACTGAAATCATAGTGGAACAACATCTGCAACTGAAGTTTGTCACCTTAATTAAATGTTCAATTTAATAAATCGGTATGAACTCATTACTCATAGGCTCACACAGTAAAGGTTAACAGGTTGAGGGCATTTTATAGTAAATGTTTTTGTCATGAGAATAAAATTACATTTCATAAAGTTAAACAGCTGCCTTCTGTGAATATTTGTGTAAATAAGATCACCACAATAAGCCTTGTCATGACTTTAATGTCTTCACATGATTAGACAGAATAATTAAAGCAGGTTTTGTATGTGGAACCAGTGATCCAAAACTGAGCCTGATTAAACAGCAACTAATTAAACACTTCTGCATTTAATGTGGTGACTATTATGAGCAAAAATCTTGGCTGCAAAATGACTGTTCATTAATTTAATGTAACAGTTGTGGTGCTGGTAAACAAAGACAAAGCCCACAGAGATCGTGTACTTGTATATTTGTGACATTGCTTCATTACAAACATCAACTTAAAAACTTAGGAGTGCTTTTGCAGTTATACAATGCTGAGTTCAAGAGCCTTATTTCATATCACCTAACTAACATAAACAACTATATCTGGGACTCCAGAGGGGTGTTGTATTATACAAGGTACCAGCGAACACGTCCACGAAAAATTGGAGAGTTTGGGTGACCTGACTGAGTTACTCCAGAAAAAGGAGGATAAGGTTGGAAATTGCACATGGAGGTGGACATCCTCAACTCTGAAGCTTTACTTCAGAATGGTGTCTTCACTTGCTGTGAGGAGGAAAGAAAAAAAAAATCAGATTTTTCAACACAAGTGTGACTCAAAATGATTAAAGTGCATTTTTCTGTGCAGTTCAAAAGGCGACGGCTGTATTTGGTTTTGTTATAATCATCTGACATGTGAGTACGCGTGACGAGGCTACCTTCTCTTAGCTGCTTGGCGATACGCTCCTGCTCCTCGCGGATCTTTTTCTCCTCTTCCTCGATCCTCCTCTCCTCTGCAGCGATGGGCTTCAGGTTATCTGAGCAAATCGAGAGATATATTTTTTCAAAGTGCACATCAATCCCATCCATCTCGGACTGTTCAACCAAGCCACATCTGGTTATATTATCGAAACTGCAAATCTTGCATGTCTGCGAATAGCGAAACTGAAAATGTCTCATCCTCCTGATTGAAAGAGCTCAGTACAGATTCGCTAGTTTTTATAACAACGAACCATGTGTTACTTTTTATTAAACAGCAAGATCAGCTTTTGGAATAATTAATCTCTAGTGTTTTGAATAATATCTAGTCAGGGTTTTTCCTGAATAGAAGAATTATTGTTGACACCAAAGGAAAATCACCAGGGCCTGAATGATATGAACAGAGAATAAAAATAGCAAATCAATTTTTAATCAGTTTGGGTAATTGGGGTTTCCTTTACTTAACCATAATACACATTTTTGTTCATAAAGTGGTCGGAAATAACAGGAAAATGCATAATCAAATAATGTAACACTGCCTATACTTTACACAGATTGATCATTCTTATTGTGGTGTGTGGTCAGTTCCCAAAGGCCCATTCTGAGCCAGAAAAAAAACCTAATGAATGGATTGAAGTGGGTTCATCTCAGTACATCGCTGGAGTAAAGGACGCGACTTGATAAAAGAATAACTCACCATATCTCATTTTGCCATAGATGATGCCAACAATCAAAGCTGAATACCTGGCTGTCTGTAGGAGAAAGAAAAACACATTAGTGACCGTTATAATATTTTTAATTAGGCTATTGAGACTCACTGCAAATTAGAGAAAAAAAAACTACTAGACTTAAAATCAAACTCCTGAACACTTGAAATTTTGTTTTGTGTTCTGAGGTTTCTTCAGTTAATTCTGCTATATGATGCTGTGGTGGTTAATCAAGAAACTACACAGCCTACAGAGTAAAACTGAACGACTTTCAGAGTGGGTCAGACACACTCTTTAAAACCAGAATGGTCTGATATATGTTAGTTCCAATAAAGTATAGTTAACACACACACATAAACGCAACATGTAATATTTCATTAAATTACATCCATTCTTTCTAACAAACAAAAGGATTTATTGTTCCAACACACAGCATCAACAACCATTACACACTGTATGGGTAGATGTAGAATGTAGATCGCAAAACTAGTCACACGTCTGCGATGCATACAGTTCACAAAGTTGTCAGTGCTGTTTACAGTACGTTGTTCCACTCTTCTTGAAGGGTTTGTTGAAGGTGGCGGACATTTTGAGGGTCTATATTGTCACACACGTCCATACAGAGTTGTCTGGCATTCATTGGTGTGGACAGTTATGTGCCTGTCTACAGTCCTAGCAGCCTGTTCTCGTCTTACTTCTTCTGTCATCTGTGACACTGTGTCACTTGAATGAAGCTGCATTTTCAGGTGGCCTTTAATAGTCACAGGAGTGTCTGTGTGTGGATCACACTGTCTGATCATCTGATTAAATCAGGACTAAAATGTCGATTAACTCAATGATTGAGCCTTGTCACTAGTTGAACACCTTAAAAACTTTTACTGTACAGTTGGCTACATGTCACTAGTTTGAACAATGACAACAGAAATGTGGTTTTTAACTTTTCTCTAAATCAGAAACGAAGGCCATTAGCATGCTGTGTTTATATTTTCGTCCAGTATTGGGTATAAATATATATATTAAAATAGCTTCTTCATCTGCTGTTCTCTGTGTCACCACTAACATGAACGGTAGAGGGCAATAAAAAAGAGCTCAAATTAATTCTTTAAAAAAAGGGGGTAAATTACAGCTGAATTAAACAATACGGCTGAGTCTAATTTTCACATCAATGCAGCATCACTTAAAAACACCTTTTAAGGAGGATTCGCTGTTGTTTCCATTGACATTTCTATTTAAAACAACCCCATCGTTTCAATAGAGGGGCTGTGTAAAGCTGTTAGCAAAGTCAGTGATGGTTTCCGTCATTGCACGTCGCATTATAGAATAATATTGTGTAAATGCACCAATAAAACTTGGTGCAGCACATCTGTAGTTGGCGTGACTGAAGGTTTTGCCAACACTGTGAGGTTAGCTGTTAGCTAGCATGCCCCGAGCTAACACTTAGCAGTTACCGTGCTCTGCTGTGTAGCTAGCAAACCCAGTCGTTTTTTCAGTGAAACACGACACACCTTTTTTCGCAATAAAACGGGCAACACAAACCTTAATCAAAGGCGACACTGCGACGGGAGGAGCCATAGTTTTAGAGCAGACTTGCAGTTAGCAACAGAGGTCACTTTAGCGCCGCGGAGGACTACGGGAGGAGAGACGTTCTTCTTCTCTGGACGGTTTTAGTGCAGCTCAAACTCTGTGTTGAACTTCCGCCCCCTGCTGGAAAAAGTGTCCTTCTCAGTTGTTTACAACTATTTCAATGTAATGTAGTCCCTGATTCCAACACAATATGGCCGCTTCACTCGAGCAATATATGCTATTTTAATATTTCTACAAAATGTTTTCGTAATTGTAATTTAAAAAATCAATTCTGAATAAATTGAAGGTAAATATCAAAAATAATTTTAATAAAACAAAATAAATTCTTACAAATTTCTGCAGTAATTTTCTCATTATTTGTATTTTACAATTAACCAAACCATTGTTAATTCTTTAATTTACCCAATATCCACTAGAAATGATGAGACAGCTGTGTTTGAAAAAAAAAGTTGTCAATCAAATTGTTGTCACAGATTACAAAAAGGATACATTTCTTTACTGTTGAGCTCAGCTGAGACAATCATATTACAAATTGATTGATTGATTGATTGATTGATTGATTGATTGATTGATTGATTGATTATGTTAGCTAGTAGCCCAAACATGATATATTAGAGTGTAAGTTGGCAGCTTACCATATGATATTTTTTCTTCATCAGCAACTTGAATAGTTCTGTTAAATCAACACACAGTATTTACTCCTAACAAACACAAGTACATTGTGTTGATGCATTACAGAAAATTTCAGTAAAGAAAACATAAAGAGCAGTTACACACAGATGCTTGTTTTTCTCTCTCTTATTTCTCTCCCTCTAAAAAGATTGTTTCAGACAAACCTGACAAAGAAAAAAGTCCTTCAGAAATATGTTTTTTACTTTTCTGCAAAAATTTCCGCTCAGACCACAGAGGTCAGAAGATGCTGCACCTGTTCAACCTCTGGACTTCAGCAAATCAAAGATATTCACATGGTGACATGTCATCATGGGTTATATGTCTCCCATTAGAATATTTTTAATACTATATTCTCCTTTTTTTGTAGCATTATTGTTTTTCATTTTCTTTTTTCATCTATCTTCCATCTATCTAGTGTGTATCTCTGTAATTTAAAAAAACAACAAAAAACATTTCTTAATACTCTTATACATTTTTCTTAATACCATGACGTGCAAAATGTGTGTTTTCAGTCAACATACTGTATAGTCATCACAAGCTTAAAATAATCCGTAGTGTATTCAAATGCTGTGCAGTTTTAGAATGGTGTCACAAAAATCTTTAAGTTTTAAATATGTGGTTTCAAGCTGATAAAATTTTTAAGCCAGAAAAAAAAATGGTTTTCCAGAATCTAATGTCAAAGATCAGCAAAGTCAAAGTTCTGAACAAACAATTCTCTTGTTTTGCCATTTTATTTGAAGCTCTCACACATTAAATATCAGACTTAAACAGTTGATGTGAATTGTCCCCAGCATCTTTAAATAAAATGTGATCATTCTGGTATCATACAATTCAATTCAGTTAAATTCAATTCAATTTTATTTATATTGTGCCAATATAATCACATATCATATAATATAAACACATATGTTCTTTCAAGTTACTTTACATATTTTGGTGAACATTTTCAAAAGAGTATGCAGAGAAACCCAACAAATCTGAGGTTTCCTTTGGATCCCCTTCAACCTCTTAACACCTGGCATCCACATGCATGGACATCACATTTTGGGTTACATTACCACAGTAGTTAAATCTGCTTAACTGGGGCCTTAAAGCCACGTGTGGTAACTTACACTACCATCTATAATGATATTTAGGTTTTATACTTACCAGGTTCCAATAAGCACAACTAGCAAAGGGAAATAAAAAAAATGCATATCAAACAAGAGCTCGGGTCTTAAGAGGTTAAGAGGATGATCAGGTTCGTTATCAGGCTTCTGCAGAGCTTGATGATGAGCTGATCATCTGAATCAGGTGCGTTGGAAGAGGGAAACATTTAACACATGCAGGATTGTGGCCCTCGAGGACCAGGATTGGAGACCCCTGCTCTATGCAGTCAGTGTTTCTCAAAATGTGTGAGAATGGTGACAATGGTGTCAACAATTACTGATGAGACTACCATCACAAAAGAAAGATTTTTGTCCTCCAAAGGGGGGCCTGACAGAAAAAGTTTGAGAACCACTGAGTTAAATGAACAGGACAATGAGAAATAAGTAAAGTACACTCATGTGATTCAAGCAAGCATTGGTATTACCTTTTAGAGTGTACCGAATTTCGTAGTTCTAGCTTAAACACAGTTTCGACTAGACTTTGTAGGGGGCGCTGTGAAGCCATTTTGTCATTGATGTGAGCAATTCTTTTAAAATATAACATTTTTCACCAGTCCTGATGTGCGTGCAAATGTTGGTGAGTTGCCGAGCGTGTGTAGGCCCTCAGACTCACGTTTGTTTTCAGCAAAAAAGAAAGTACGATAGTCACACTGCATTATATGTAATTTAAAAAATTGGGTAAATACACTTTAAACTTTTCAAGATTTTCACAACAAGCATATTCATGGAAATACAATGAGATGAAAAAACAAACAAAACAAAACCATCTTTTCACATAAAATCATCTTTTTCCACATTATTTACTTCTTTTTTGGGGATTATACGTAAATTAATACTTTTTTTTGTAATTTCACTAAAACCTGTTAAACAATCAATCCTGAATATACAGAACATTTCTTTCAAATAACATCAGATGTCAGAAAAACAATGATTTTTTTTTTTTTTTTAATGCAGTCAAACCTGATAAAAGAACAAATGATTGTTGATGTGGACATTATTTACAGTTGTGGACTTTTTTCTTTTTTTTTTTTTACAGTTAACATGTAAATGAAAACTTTCTTTCTGTGCTCTAAGTAGATATTATCAGGAATATAAATCTGTAAAATAACAGTTGATTGTTAAACGAAGAGACAGTTAAAACAACCCGTGGTGTTTTATAGTATACAATGAAACTGAATCAGCTGGAAACTCAAACATTCTAACCAGCTGCTCTTTAAAGACTTCAGTCTATTCAGGTTTAATGAACTTTACAGTGGATCCAGTATAAAGTCCAACTCCAGCATGTAGCGGCTGAGTGAATGAGGTCTGGACTCTGTGGAGGAGAGTCATGGTGTCAGAGACGCTGTAGAAGGACAGAACACCTGCTCTGTGATCCAGGTAAACTCCTACTCTGGAGGGAGGATCTCCTGAGATGGGAGTTTTAGTTTTGTTGTGCCGAAATACAAATTTGCTGGTGGAACAACGTAAAGACCAGGATTTGTCATTGAATCCAAATCTACATTCATCTGAATCCCCTGTTCTCCTGATATTCTTGTATGAAACTGTTACATTACCTCCTTCTAGTCCTCTGCACTCCACCTCCCAGTAACAACGTCCAGTCAGACTCTCTTTACTCAGAACCTGATTCCAGTGAGTGAATCTGTCTGGATGATCACGATGAGACTGTCGTTGATCCATACGTTTCACTTTTCTGTTCCCATCAGATAATAACAGCTTTCTGTGTGCTGTGTTTGGATTCAGAGTGATTTCTCGTGAATATTTTAAGAATCCAGCTCTGGTCGTTGGTTCTGACAGTAAAACATCCACTTCAGTGATGGCCAGTGAGATGTTCGTCCATGCGTCCCTCAGAACGTCCTGTAGTCGATCTCTGAGCTCTTTCACAGCTGCTGTCACGTCCTCAAAGTGTCTCCGAGGACGGGTGCTGATGCTGGATGAGTGTGTGGACTCACTGAGTGCTGACACTGAGGGGTAGTTGTGGAGGAACCGGCTGTGATCTGGTGTCTCTGAGAACTGCTTCAGCTCAGCATCTTTCCTCTTCAGATCACTGATCTCCTGCTGCAGCTTCTCCTCCAGCTCTTGGACTCGACTCACTTCAGCCTCCTGCTGGGATCTGATCTGCTGCTTCACCTTAGAGCTTCTTTTCTGGATCAGATGAATCATCTGGGTGAACATCTCCTCACTGTGCTCCACTGTTTTATCAGCAGAGACATTGATGGCCTCCAGCTCCTGTTGAAGCAGCTTCACACCTTTCTCTCTGTCCTGGATTCTCTGATGGATTTTTCGTCGAGTCGACTCAAGTTCCTTCTGCTTCTGCTTCGTTTCTGCTACAGCTGAGACTGCTTCATGGCCTTTATGTTGATCCACAGAGCAGAGATAACAGATCAGCTGCTGATCAGTGCGACAGAACATCTCCATCAACTTATCATGATGAGGGCAGATGTTCTCCTGGAGGTTCTTGGAGGGCTCCACCAGCTGGTGTTTCTGTAATGGAGGTGAATCATAGTGAGGCTGAAGGTGGTTCTCACAGAAAGAAGCCAGACAGACCAGACAGGACTTGACAGCCTTCCTTTTCCTCCCAGTGCAGACATCACAGGCCACATCTTCAGGTCCAGCATAGCAGTAATCAGCAGTAGCAGCAGCTTGGAGTCCAGTCTTCTTCAGCTCCTCCACTAACTCTGCTAGCACAACGTTTTTCTCCAGGACAGGCCTCGGTGTGAAGGTCTTCCTGCACTGAGGACAGCTGTAGATTCTCTTCAGGTCCTCTGCATCCCAGTGGGCTTTAATACAGTCCAGACAGTAGCTGTGTCCACAGGAAGTAGTCACTGGATCCTTCAGCAGATCCAGACAGATGGAACAAGAAATGTTCTCTGAAGTCAGATTAGATCCTCTCTGAGCCATTTTCTCGTCTGAGCAGTGACTGAGTGAATTTCTGCTTTCAGGAAAGTGAAACTAAACAAACCAGTCTGAGCCAGTCAGCTCTCTGTCATCACCACATGTTGGTTCCCACCCAGTTTAAAGATAGGAAGGAGGAAACAAGGAAACATGTAGACAGACTGGATCTGTTTCAAGTAATATTAGTGGGAACAGCATCATTGAAAGGCAGCTGTTGAAATAAAATCGACTTTGATTCCTGTATCAGCTGCTGTGTCCACACACAGTATCACTGAAAAAAAGACAAAAGTATCTAAAGAGACCTCCTCCCACAACTTCAATAAAAGCAGGCTGCAGGATTTAAATAAATAAATAAATGTCTAATTAGGTGACTACG